TGCCTCAGCAGTTAATTCACTGGGCCACGATTAGGTAACAATTAGTTAGCCAATGCACTGGGAAACACATATCTTTTTTATATTTGCTTCACATATATATCCTTGTATCCATCCAATAGGTCTTATTTTTAATTCATTTACAAGTCAACTGATTGGAGCGTAGGTAAGGCTGAGCAGTGGCACGGGTGTCTGCATCCCCCAGTCACATGGCTGTTAACCCAGCTTCTCTTTCTACACCTTCTACGAATCCCATAACTCCTATATTTGGCCCTTTAATAGTCTTTCAATTCTTGAATACTGTTTTTAGCCTGATCCAGCTCAGCTTCCAGCTTTTTGTTTGTTTCCCCCTGGTGATAGGAAATACCTTCTAATTTTGAGATTCTTTCTTCTGCTTGCTTCATTCTATTTTGGAGACTCTCTGTTGTACTTTTAATTTGCTCCACTGTATTCTTCATTTCTGATATATCAGCTTTCGTTTGATTCATTTCCAGTGTGACATATTCCTTGAATTCCTCGAATGCCTGCTTTATGTGCTTCTCGTTGCTGATAGGAAGCTTTATGACAAGTGTTTTGAATTCTGTATCCCCATTTTCTCAATGTCTTCCTTAGTTAACTCTGAGGTTGGCAAAGGCTTCTGTTCCTTTGCAGAGGAGTCTTCAGTAATATTCATTGTGCCTTTCTCTCTTCTTTTGTTCTTGGTGATTGTATTTCTGGTTGTCAGATTCTTCTCCTTGGGGCAAGTTTCTAAGCTGTGTCACCCACAGGTCTACAGTTTGATTTTAATTATTGTAGTTGGTACACGGCTCTTTGTTTGCAGTCATTTGTGCCACTCCATCCAGCAAGTTCCAGGTCTGGATTCTTATGTTAGATTTCCACCATGGTCTCTGTAGCCCTAGCTCCTGGCTCACCAGTCTCTACCTCCTGCGATACCGTGCTGAGGCTACTCTGCTGTCTGTACAACCTTTCTCCCACTTCTGGTTGGAGCAGGTCCCAGGATTAGAGACACCACTTGTGCTATATAGCTAGGTTTTTGATGGTGCTGATCTTGCAGGAACCTGTTGGCCATTAGGTGTGAGCTCCACACAGACCTATTTTGACCCATTCAATGCCACAGTCAGTATTATTTTCCTGTGGGACCAGTGCAAGTCACAGAAATCAGCAAGTTCTCGCTAAGCTCAACACATGCACATCTCAGTATTGTCCCCACAGTCTCAAACCTCTTGCCACACTGTAAAAATGGAACCTGATATGCAACTATTAGAGTTCTTAATCTGCTGGCTTTCAGATCTGATGGCTACCCGGACTTGTCACGGGTGGAATCTGTAGGATGCCATGTAGTTGCAGTTCACCGAGTCAGAAATGAGTTCACTCCTAGCTTAGTTCATGCACAGTCCTGCCCCAAAGCCCTTGCTTCTTTAAACAAAATGGCACCTGATTAAGCTCCAGGAGGCAGACTGGGCTGTGAAATCCACCCTATTTTCACACCAACTGTCTGGGACCTGCTGCTCTGTCTCTGCTCGTGGTCAAATCAAACAAACCAGCAGGACGAGCAATTCTTTGCCTGGGCTCACCTCTGGAGCTCCTGACAAATGTCCCTTCCCACCTTGTTGCTGGTGGAGTTCCAGCTGCTGGTGGAGTTCAGATTGTTGTTTGCTGAATGCCACTGGGGTATCAGTCACTGCCACACCATACCATTGTTTTCACTGCTTTCCTGTGTCTGTCAGTCTCCAGGTACCCCTCTGTTATTGTTCTGTCCTCTCATATTTCCTGGAATGTGCCCTCTCTAGTTCACACTGGCTAATATTTCTCCAACTGTTTAAACATGTCCTTACCCTGTTCTGCCATCTTGATTCTTCAATTTATTCTTTTTTACATGAAGGGCACACAGACAAGGCAGAGATAGATTGCTTCCATCCCTGGTTCATTTCAGAGATGGCCATAATGGGTAGGAGGAATGGGCTGAGCTGGGAATTCAGTTCAGACTCCCAAATGAGTGGCAGGAAACCAATCACTTGAGCTGCTACTGCTGCCTCCAGGGAACTGTGCTAAGAATCACGGTTGGTACTTGAACTCAGGCACTGAGAAGGCCATGTAGGACATGGGCATCTTAACCAATAGGGTAAACATTTAACTTGCTAGTTCTTTTCAAGGGATCAAATATACTAGATAAGAATTTTGTTTCTATCTCAATAATTACGATAGCTGAAACATGAAAACGAAGTAATTGCTAGAAATACATTCCACCAAGGTCAAAGAACTAGATACTGACTGTAATTTGGTTATGCCATCTCCCCTCCACCCAAGTTAATATATCAACAAAACTACTCCTCCCCTCTCCAAGAATTCAGCTTAATCCAGTAAAAACAGACATGATAATAAATCCATCTCACATACTCATCTCCTACCTCTGCAATTAACTAATACTTACTAGATAATGAGATCATTTCTTATGCTTGTGACATAAACAACAGGATAAATGCCACACGCATTTGTAGCTGCCATGAAAGGAACTTCCTTTGGAATCACCCAGGGGTGGGTCTTCATACTTCATACAGCTTCCATCGGGCCTCCCACTGGGGTGTAGGGTTCCAAGGCTTTGGGTCTTCCTCTGTTTTCCCAGCCAACAAGCAGGGAGCTAATGGGAAGTGGAGCAGCCAGGACATTAACTGGCATGCATATAGGATCCTGGCACTTGCAAGGCAAGGATTTTAGCCACTGAGCCATTACACTGGGACTGTACACATTACTTTTTTAAGTATCAGGTTCCTCACTGTAAAACAATGGCTACATTTCCAACTTTCAATGCTGAGTTTTCTCAAACATATGATCTACTTCTAGATTCATGCAAGGCAAGCCTCTATGCTAGAACTCCTCTGGACAGCCTTTTCCAACCTCACCCCTACCTGTAGGATGAAAAAGACCTTGGAGCACAGGATGTGTACATAAGGCCATGCCCTGCTACAGACTATGGTCTGGTTAATCTAACCAGGCATCCTCTGCACAAACAACAGCAAGACTGGCTGCCAAGTCCTGCAAGAACCCATCTCCTAGGTCTCCCTTCTTGAAGGGGTATGGGTCAAGACTGAACGTAAAGACTCAAGGATTGGAGTCTCCAGGCACATGGACAGAGTCACTTCAAGGTATAGAGTGTGAGTTTGGAGGATCAGAGTTAGGATAGGCAAGTCCCATGTCAATACATGGTGGAAAATAACAAAATTCTTAGCCCAAATTTGACTTTTGCATTCCCAGACTTACTTGTCACAGTGAGAAAACAAAACATTTCATTCACTTAACTCCTGGGGGTCTTCATTTGCTATTGGTTCTGTAAATGTTACAAGTGGACTTGTGTATCACTTCTGATAATCTATCATAGTATCTGCAATATCAACTTTAAATATTATCACATTTAATTATATAATATCATAAATTTTGGTTTCATTGACCCCAATGAAAGCTTTGGGGTCAATGAAGCCAGGATATATAAACAAATATATAAACAGGATAAACAAACAGACACGATTAAGAGCTTCTGAGAATAAGTATTTCTGAATGGCATCAGCATGAAGCATGCATTCAAAACAAGGTTTTTTATGAATGCTTTTTGTAATCTAAGATAATAGCTACCAGTTTTAGTTGAGTGCCAGCGAATGTGTTATGTGAGTTAGAAACTGATATGCTCACTGTTCTATATATCCTAATAACCTCATTTTAGTAATAATAAAAATGAAACTCAGGTTAGTTAATAGACTAATCCATGTCAGAAATCTGGCTCCAACATTTCCCAGCTTTATGATTCCTGTTAAACCACTTTGCTTCCCTTTCTGTGCCCCCAGCTGTGTAATGGTGCCATGTTTAGAATTAATAAATGTGGATTCCTTCCTCTCCTTGCTTCCAGATGAATCAATGAGACACTCTGTCCTTGTGAGTAATTCTAAACACCGAGTCCTTGGTTGCTTGATCTTTATCACATTCAGGAAGCCAGTTCCTTCAGAAAGATGTTTCTGAATTATCTGTACTCTAATTTCTCCTGAAACATCCATACAACATCTCCTAAATTTTGCTTGTTATAAATATTTGAGAAGCTCATTGCCTAAAGCATCTACCTTGTCCTTTTCCTCACTAAATGAAATATGGAAAACAAAGGACTAAGGTGGCATAAAATACTACAAAGGCAGAACTGATGGGAAGGATAATAAAGAAGAAGCTAATTTCACGGTTTCAAGCTTGCCTGAGAAAATGTCAAAAAATGAGAATTAGTGGTTTCATAAATCATGTCCAAAATTCTTCCGTCTTTTCTTTCTTCATTCTTCAGACACGAAGCTCTAATCCATCTACTTTTTAACATTCAAAGCCAAAATACTCTCTTTCCTTTGACGGGCACTCAAATTTACATGTTCCATTTATCTAACATCTAATTATACACCATTTTGTATAACCAACTGTTATAAATTTACATCTTCTTAACTATGTTGCAGTTCTCTATGATGGATTACTACTTCTATTTTCACTATTACAATGTCAATAAATTTTGGTTAACTACTTTTATGAAGATACAGTTAAGAACTAGAATAACTATAAACAAAGAGATATTTAAATGTTTTTCTGATAGGAAGGAAAAACTTTCCAAATCAAAATCTTGGGTATATTTCCACATAGAAGGAAAATATGACAAACAGTACATTTCTATTTCTCTGAGATTTTTAGTTAAGTCTTTCAATAGAAAAAAAAAAAATCTGTCTTTAGAAATGTTACCCATTAATACTTATTAATTATTCAAGAACTTTGCAAACTTGTCTTAAAAAAAATTTACATTTTTCCAAAATGACTACTCATTATTAGCTTAATTTGCAACTCTTAAAACCCTAAATGCCTAAAATTATAAAGTAATATTTGTTTAAAATTAAATGCTTAAAAAATCTAAAGTCTACATTAGAAAGACCAATTACTGTAGACTTCATCTAAAGCTTCTTCTTTGGCTTCTTTTGATTTGTCAATTTTACCTGAGTAGCTTTATCTTTCATGCATGAAGGGTAGTGAACATGAGGGTCCCGTGGCCACTGTCCTGTGAGGTAAGGTCCTGTGATCGTATCCAAAGAAGAGGTCCGCCTTATTGTACTAGAAGTTCGAACTTGCTGAGATTTTGGCCTGTCCACTGCAAAAAGTGAAACAAAAACAGTGGTTAGAAAGTAAATTTTTAAATTATTTAAATATCATGGTTTGTAGACTGTTAATTATTTACACTAACAGCCTTGCTGTATGGCCTAATTATGGAACTATTTTCAAATAAAATATATTAAATGTGCATACACTTCACAGACTCCAAGAAGCTCACCCATTTTAGAGACCAACGATACAACTTATCTATCCCTCCCCTTATCACTTCTTTTTTTTCTTAAAATATTTATTTTTATTGGAAAGTCAGATATACAGAGAGGAGGAGAGACAGAGAGGAAAATCATCTGTCTGCTGGTTCACTCCCCACCTGGCCACAATGGCCGGAGCTGGGCTGATCCAAAGCCAGGAGCACGGAGCCTCTTCTGGGGCTCCTACGAGGGGTGCAAGGTCCCAAGGCTTTGGGCTATCCTCTACTGCTTTCCCAGGCCATAAACAGGGAGCGGGATGGGAAGCGGAGCTACTGGGATTAGGACCAGCACCCATATGTGATCCCAACATGTGCAAGGTGAGGACTTCAGCCACTAGCCTATCATGCCAGGCCCATAAACACTTCTTTAATTAAGATTCCATCATAGGAGCTAATGTTTGATAAAGTAAGTTAAGCATATGTCTGTCATGTTGACATCCCATATTGGCACCAATGTGAGTCCCAGCTCCCCTACTTCTGATCAAGCTCCCTGCTAATAGTCTAGGAAAAGCAGAGGAGGATGGTCCACTTGGGTCCCTCCCACACATATGGGAGATATCACTGCATCTCCTGGCTTCAGCCTGGCCCTGGACTGGCCGCTTTTGGCCTTTGAGGAGTGAACCCATGGATGGAAGATAACTGCTTGTCTCTCTCCCTCTGTAACTCTAACCTTCAAAATAAACAAGCAAATCTTTTAAAAGACTCGATCATATCTCATGTAAATTGCCAACTTTCTTACTTTTCCTGTAGTCATTTCAACTGACAGTGTCTATCCACTCCTACTGAAATTTTTTTCCACATTCAAACATTGCTATCAACTTAAACCTTATCTTCTTCAATATGCCATAAATGTTCAAATTGACTCCTATATATCTCAACAGCTAATAACTTACTATTAATAACTCTATAAGCCAATGCTAAGTGTCAGATATGATTCACCTGTGTTTTTTCCCAAACATATCTATCCTGGCTCTACAAATTTTATTTTCTTCGGTTCCCAAGAACCTGCTCCTTCCTTGTTCACTTAAGATGTTCTTTATTTGTCCCCAAAACCAGGTAAGATGTCACACTCTGAAACCTTCACCCTTTCATTTCCTTCCATCCCTGCTCAAGATCAACTGGCTCTCTTCTGCTTGAACTGCACCCTAAGATTATCTCCCCTCCCATCAGAGCAGTCGCTACAGACTGAAAATTGAATGAATGTGAAATATTAAATGCACTTCTTCACAACCACACAAAAACAGTATGTATAAATAACTTTATACAATTAAATTATCCAATGAAATACAGCTATAAAGAAAAGACAGCAGTTAAAAGGGTCTCCTGACATTCTATATAGTTAAATCCTCCACAAGAATAACTTACTTCCTATATAGGTGCAACAACTATCTCCCTATAAAATCAAAACCATCACATATGAAACCAAACCTAGAAACAAACATAGGATTTTCTATATATATAGATCCATCCAAAATAGCTTATTACTACAATAATATGTATTCTGTGATAAAGTACAACAGATGGCAATTTTCCCAAACACAGAGTTATACCTTATGGCAAATAAAAGTCCTTACACATTACGGAGGGTTAAGGAACATTTGCTGTTAAAGGACAGACAGCAATTAATTTAACTACCTTTCTGAAATCAGAAGACACAACTAGTTTATTTAAAAAAGCAAAAGAAAACATAGTAGGCTCTGATATTATTTAATCTGGTCAGTTTTGATTTTTGTTTGATGCCAAGAGTCAGAAAAAGTCAACAATGTTTTTTCATACTTTACATACTATACATAATAAATTGTTTTGTTTCATAACTACAGATGTGGTCACTATATGTATTTTAATTTTAAGCTAAGTGAAAACACCAGCTCTCTACTCATTAACACAACGTTACCCTAATTCAGGTAGATCTAACAAGAAGACACTTTAGCAGTCAGAAACATAGTCAAATAATCTCTGGATTATTTCATAAGAGCTTAGCTAATAAAGTTACTAAAATAACTCACAAATATATACACATATGTATATGTATGTATAAGTTATGTATATAAAATACGAAAGAAAATTAAGTACATATCACCATGATTTAAGCTGAACATGCAGGAGGGAAATCACAGCTGTTCACAACTGGTGGAATCAGGTGACTAGTGCTACTGCTAAGTAACCCCTGCTGAGCTGCCTGCCACATATACCAAGGGAAATTTCAAAATGAATTTCAGTTTCATTCTATCCTCAAGAAGTCTGCATTTGTGTAACAGAGACACGATCTGCATAATTAATCTATAATATGAAGTAGTGTATGCACACACAGAACATTCACATCAATGAAGGGTAAGAAAGCAACCACAGCAGAGCATGAGTGAGGTAGTAGACAGCAAGGAACGATGCTCCATATACACACTTACATAACTTCAGGTAGTAACAGTCCTGCTGTGAACACCTCTCCTTTAAGCATTTGTGGTTAAAATATAAAATGTTTAATTCCACAATAAAGTTAGACTGTTTTTTAAAAAAAAAAATTACTACATAATGCTAGATGATCTCTTCAAATTCCAGCACTGCTGCCAGATAGAATCAGAAAATGAGTGCTCACAGATCTTGATAGAAACACCACCTCACCAGCTATCTGCCAGTAGCATTTTTTGCCCTCCTTTGTCCCCTAGAGACCCTCTTGACAGTTGCAGCTAGCAGGCCTGGTTCTCGTCCAGTGTACCTACTAAGAAATCACAAACTAAAATCTGCTCTTTAATAGGCAAACAATGGTAAAGGAGGTTAAAAAAAATAGGAAACCATTTTGAATAACTGAATCTGATTAGCAAACCAGGCACCACTGTTTCTAAGCAGGGAAACTGCCAGAACAATACATCAAATTAATCAATTTATTTCCATAACTTTTATTTTACTAACAGTTACTTAAAATTTATCAGTATGTTTGAGAATCTGATGCCTTAAGAAGCTAACCTCCTGTGGAAAGTTAATACAATTAAGTGGGATTTCTACAAGTTAAAAAAAGGTAATTAGAGAATGTTAGAATCTCTAAGAATTTTAGCCACAGGATTATGAGATATAAACACCACACCTTCAAAAGTACACTTATCAATGGCAAAGAGTATGCAATATTGGCATTGCCACCAGGCAGCCACACACAATGCAAACCAATATATACAATAAAGGGCCCATATTCTTTTCTTGGGCTTTAACAGATTACAACCTTGTTTTCTATTTTCTGCCGGTTCTTGTATTAGTAAATGAATGCTGTTGGTTTGCTCTGTTCACCTCTCAATCTAAACTAAAGCTCTCCACTAGAGTGACTACAGAGCGAATCTATTAGCAACTTAAACTGGAAAAGAGTTACTGCGCAAGGACTATAAATCTGTGAAACTTACACCATCACCACAAAGAAGAAACTGCTTCTTACTTTATTTGAAACTCCTCACTGCTTATAATCATGAAGAATTTTAGTTGTGGGATCTGGTGCAATAGACTAGTGGCTAAATCCTAGCCTTGCATGTGCCGGGATCCCATATGGGCACTGGTTAGTGCTCCACTTCCCAACCACCTCCCTGCTTGTTGTCTGGGAAAGCAGTAGGGTACAGCTCAAGGCTTTGGGACCCTGCACCTACGTGGGAGACCCAGAAGGAGCTCCTGACTCCTGGATTTGCATCAGCTCAGTTCTGGCCATTGTTGCCATGCTGGGAGTGAACCAGCAGACAGAAGATCTTTGTCTCTTCTTTGTATGTCTTTCCAATCAGAAAAATAAAATCTTAAAAAAAAAATGTTTTTCATTGCAGACACCTGTGCAGCTCAGTAAAGCAGTTCAGATAGCTAAGTACTAGTTTTAGTTCTTTACTACATAAAGCATATTGGCCAGCTTTCATATATCACATTAGTTAACAGTACCAAAGCAAACGTGTGTAAGGACACTTTGCTTTGGATTTAAGCTCTTCAAATGTAAGAAATGTAAGAATATGCTTGTACACTAACTTAGCTACTGTCTGTAATGAAAAGATGCATTGAGACTTATGAAGTATCCACAATAGGCTGGCTAAGAAATGACTTCAAGAAAGGAATATTGAGCCACAATTTTTTGTAAAAGAACCAACAACTGGATTATTTAAAATGCAAATTACTAGGCCTCCATTCCCAGAGTGTCTAAGTGGTGACAGGCTAGAACCAGGAATCAACAATTTTTAAAACTAAACTAGCCAGATTCAGATATATCACCAGATGCGGGACACTGAGGCCTTCCAGCCGTGGTTAAGCGCTAACACGTGCTGCTTATTCTCATCAGTGATGTGAGGACTCTAGTAGAGCAGGAACCAAGAAATTCAGATCTTTACTAAGCAACTCAGGTGATTGCAATGCTTCTTATAGCTCAACATCCAGAGAACTGAAAATACATTGGAACTAAAATGCTTTTTTGACAATAACCTATTCAATTTAGAGCTATTTAAATTTCACTACAAACTCAACATAACATTCTGCTGCAAACCAGTCAACCAATCTTAATCTACATCTGCGAATAACAGCTAACCTTCTAGATTTAATAAACACCAAACAGCTCCCCACTCTCTAAAAAAGTCCATCCATCCGTCTTCCTTTTCTTTTTTTTTTTTTTTTGTCATTTGTGAATTTCAGCAGAAGCACTTTCCCTCGATAGTTTCAAAAAATTATTTTCCCCAATAGTTTTGTAGATACAAGGGTTCTTTGCTGCCCCTTCCTTTGCTCCCTCCCCATTTTCCTCTCCTGCCAATTTCCCCCAAATTATTACAGTAGTATAGTCCTCTAAT